GTATTTCAGTGATTTTTTCAACGAGGTCTGTCTCTGATTCCTGTATATTATTAATATTAGTGGGAGTCGTTTCAATTTTGTTAACGTATTGTAATTTCAGATTTTCCGTTTCTTCTAGTTTCATCGTGATTTCTGCTTGTTCTAGTTTGTCTACTAGTTTTCTAAAATCTAAATCGGGTTCTCGAATTGAAGAAGGATGGGATGCTCTCTTTTTTATTGCTATTTTCCTTAATTGTGGTGTTAAGGTCATCATTAAGATTTCTGTCATCTTAGTGTTTTTATAGTCGTGTGTATTTAGTGAATATGCTTTTCGAACTAGTGTTTCGATTCTTACTGCTATTTGCTTGATGGTTTCGTTTGGTAATCTGCGAATTTCATTACATAAAACTCTTTGTTGTTGTTTGTTTCTTTCGGAGTCAAACATTTTTGAAAATTCTTGTGTAAATCTTTTCCAGTTTGATTTTATTTCTAGAGGTAGTACTGAAAACCATTTTTGGGCTGCGCCATCTAAGGTTGTTTGTATTAATGCTGTGCGTCGATGTATCCAGTTTTGATGTAGTGGTGTATTAATTGGTTCAGGTCCAATGTTTAAAATCAAATTTGCTGTTACTGCATTTAAATAATCTTCTACAGAGTATTCAGGGTCTGTTCCTGTGAAAACCATTAAAGGTTTGTTTGATGTTATTGATGATCCACCCATAAGGTATGGATTCATTGTCATTTGTAATGATTCTGCTGCATTTGGCATTTGAGAAAAATTCGAAAGTTGGTTTCTTGTTATTTCATGTTGTTGGAGATAATATGGTAGTGGTATTTCATTTTGCATTTGTGATGCTTGATACGAGTGTGCAGTCATTGGATTTTGTTGTTGAATTGGTTGAAAAGATTGTGTATTAATTAGATTTTGTTGTTGAATTGGTTGTTGATGTTGTGCATCTATTGGTTGTGGAGAAAAATTCCTATGATTTGTATGTGTTCTCTGTATTCCTTGTCTACGATATTCTTGAGTACTTGGTGCAAATATATCTGGTTGTAAGAAATCATCATCTGAGGATAAATAATCCATTTGATAAGATGTTTGTTTTTTATTTTTATTTTGTTGAAAAAATGGGTAATTTTCACTGCGATCCTGTGGAGGATTTGGTTGAAAATTTTTGGAATTATATTGGGCCGTTGGGTTATCCCAGTTTCGAGGTTTTGTATATTGATTAAAATTCCTTTGTGGTTGATAATTTGTTTTTGACGGATGTGTATAATTATAATTATGGTCTGCAAAGTTGTTTCTAGTGAGTGTTTTGCGTGTTTTTGATGGCATTGTCATGGGTCTATATGTTTGGTAATCCATATGTGAATATTTTGGAGCAACCGAAGGTTTAACGGTTGATTGTAAGGTTACCTGTGTTTGTGAAGGATTTGTATTTCTTGGTGTTGTTAAATTCGGGCGTATTGGTGAAATACTTTGTTGTGTAGTTGTTGTGTGTACAATTTCTTCATTTATGAAGTGTGATGGTGTCTGTATATCTTGTTGAGTAAGATTCCTAGTTCCATTGAGGTTTTCGTTGTGTATGACTGTAGAATTTAAACTATTATTTTGTGTATCGGGTAAAAATGTATTATAGTTTAATGGTGTTGCATCAATTGTTAATGGTATTACTCTTACATAATCTCTTATGTAAGATATTGTACTTATTGCTTGACTTGAGATTGATTGTGGAAAGCTTATAAATGCGGGATGAGACCATTCGGGGTCCCAAACATAATCTGATTGTTCTGTGATAGCGGTATCATCGTTCGAGTTTTGGGGTCTAAAATTTTTTCTTGCTTGTGCAATTAAATCAATATTGTGTGTGAAATAATCTATTATGAACCATGCCAAAATTTTTTGTAAATCGTGTTTGGTATGTTGTGAAACATCGTCTTTCGTGAAATTTTCTTTAATGATGTTTAAATAACTAGAGAGTAGTGTGATTTCATGTCGTACTCTTAAATGTTTAGATGTTTCTGTCGGTGAGACATTTGTTATTGGGGTTTCGTTTTCTAATATCGAAATATAACTATATATTATTGCGAAAACTTCATTGGTGAAAATGGAGTTTGCTCTTTGTGAGTTATGGTATTGGATGCTTTTTATATATTCTGAAAAAACTTTTGAAAATTCTAAATCAAGATCGTCTGTTTGAATAGTATATGTTCTATTATTATGGTTTGGGGAAGTGAATTCTATAGAGTAGATTCCATACTGTTGTGTTATGTTGCATATATCTTTTAAGTAGTGATCTATGATTTGTCTTTTGATTTTTACATCGGGGAACTCTGTTTTACATGGACTGATTCCGGGTTCAAATAAATTTACGAGTAAATTTTGACAAAATATGTGTTGTCCTCTATCAGTATCTGCATCTACTATAAAAGGAAAGATTTCATCATCATCTGGAGTTTCTTCACCTGGGGTGTGTGTTGAGCTCATTTTTTCGTTCGATGACTGTTAATATGTAATTATTAATGTGTCGAATTGGTTGATTCCAATTGTATAGATGTACTGGTTTGTGTTTGTACTGTTTTTTTATTCTTCTTTTTCCTCTTTGTGATGAATTTGAAGTTGTTTCTGAGTCAGAAAAATATAGTTGATCGTGAAGTGGGCAATTTTTATCTATTGATTCTTTTAGTTTGTAAAGTTCGTCTAAACTGTTAGTTTCTGATTCTGAAAATGCGTTTCGATTTTTTGAAAATCTTTTTCGTGTTATTTGTCTTTGTTTAGTTATTATTTTCCTCTTTAGTGTTTGTCGTTTTGTGCGAATGTATCCAACTGTTTGTGTATGGGGTGTGATTACAAGGTCGTATTTTTTGTTATCTATTTCACAATTGTGTAAAATGATTGTTTGTTTATTTCCTAGGTTTTTAAATGACATAAGGTTTAGGATGACGGATGCAAAAAGTTGTTAAGTGAATTCTAATTACTTAAACTGTTAGTCCTTACGATTTTTTGGTTAGCTTTACCTGGGTCTATTTGTTCAGGGTTGGAGAGAAAAGTATATCGATTCCGAAGAATGATTTTTACTTTCTCGTGACTAGTATAAGCTAAGGTGTTAACTTACTTAATCTTACTTAGGGGTAGTGATTGTGTTCAAGGGTTGGAGAATAGTAAATCGATCCACAAGGTTCAGGTATAATTAGAACGCGAGTAGTTCGTTAGATACTATTTTAAACTTACTAAGTCTAAGATTTATCCTGGGTCTAGTAAGAGGGGGGGTCAAGTGAAGGATGAATAACCGAAGTTCTTCACTGTTTATCCTAATTTGAATGATTAGTTTTGTGTAAAAATTTCTATTAGTCCTGGGTTTTTAGAGAGGGTTGGATAGTGAATCGACGTTTGAGGTCGTTAGACACTAATTAAGTGGGTGGGGGAGAACAAAGTTGTTCTGTTTGATCCAAGGATAAGCCTTGATGATCAAGTTTGAAATTTAATTAAGTAGAAAATGATTTAAGATCCAAGGATAAGCCTTGATGATCTGATTTTAAATTAAGTGACTTTAAGTTTTAATAAAGTTTTAAATTTGTTTAAAGGAAAGATTTAGTGTTTTGATGATATTAGTGGGTTTATGATTGCTGTTATGTTTTAGGTGATGAAGCTGGAACAACAGGATGATTTATGATTACTAACCATTTATTGTCATGCTACTAATTTTTATTTTTATTTTCCAATAAATATTTTTCAAACATGTTTTGTATAATACTGCAGAGTTTTAGGAAAACGATCTAAGATCTTTTTATCAATCGTTATTGTATAATATTAATTTTGTTTAGCGCCTGAATTGATTTTGAAGGGTAACTTCAAGGTTTTATGTTTGCAAATGGAAATCTAAATTCATTGCAAGTAGTATTCGAAATATAAAAGTTTGTTCTGGCTTTTGCCGAACTATCATATAACTATACGGCAAGTTTCTACTTTGTCGTATGTCGTCTTTGGTTCGAGGTCTTCTTCCAATTCCGGGTAGTTCTGTTATGGTTCGGAATATTGGCTCTGATCTATTGAGTCGGAGAGACATTTCAATTAAATTATTGTCGTATAACATTTTGTAAATGTTTTTGTCTAATTTCTAATCTAATTTTGGTTAATTCTAATCTAGTAAGGTCTTGTTCGAGACTTATGGTCGCACCAGATGAGTTAGGACTGGAGTGTATAACTCATAGAGTAATTTCGGATAGGGTACACCGTCTGCTCGTCACGCTATCTTATTTTCGGCCGGATAGATTCGTGCAACTTCTTAGTCTAATACCGATCCTAATCTTACTCTTATACTATCTAGTCTCAGGTTGTTTAACTAGTCTCTGCTAGGCTCAATAGATCTAGGGTATACTGGTTTATTGCGGCTGCTGAAGTGCTCGGGAGAGTCCAACTAATTTCTAAGTTAAATTTAAATCTCTCTGGTGCTGAAATTACAAGTAACTTCAGCACTTACAAATAAGTGGGTTGTTAGTTAGATGGATCATGATTGGTTAATATTAAATACTTTACATTGGTAAAACATTTAATTTATCCAATCATAATATATAGTTTAGATCAGGTTCCAGAGGTGGAGGTTGAATGGGCCAGGTTGGCTTCGCGGTGACAACCGGCCCTAAAATTTATATAACATCCTACACTCTGTCGGCAAGCTCGCAAATGATAGTCGTAGAGTTATCATGACAATTTTGTGGACGCTCGGGATGCTGCTTTGTTCCTGGACCCTTTACTAACATCAGCGTATGTATCAACTCAGAGTTTTTTAAAATCCTTCTCACTGTTCGATCCCAGTTTATTTTTGTACCTCATAGAATGTTTTTTTTTGCCTTTATCTTAAGAAAATAATACAATAGTACAAGTGTTGCATAGCTACGTCACAGTTGAACTGGAACTCATTTTGGGCGTCACTCGCTGAACATGATGTATTTGGTCTCAATAATGAACACGCTAGTTACAATACAAATTTATTATGCCTGATTGAAGGGTCTAAATATACCTGCTCAGCTGGAAGTCCGACGGCACCTCGCATGCTGTAGTTTTTTCTGGATTTGTCCGACGAACTTCTTTGATCTGCTCAATGATTTTGTCCAAAAACACTTTCTTCTGGGCCTTGGTCGTAGACTTATATGTGCCCCAGTAGTTGGGGGGATGTGTCTTTCCATCAGTAGCCTTAGGTTTGCCTGCTTTGCAAACATCTACAAACTCATCATCGGCTGGCGCCGAAAAAACGGAAGATAGGCCAAGAAAAACGACACAAATTTGAATCAAATTGGTCATTTTTTAAAGACTTTTGGTCAAGTTAGTAGTAAATTGTTTTCAATTTATTGTAAATAAATTAAATGCTTCACAGATGAAAGTTTTGTTTCAGACTGAAGTTTCAATGAAATGAAATTAATGGTTAATTATTGATTAATGGTTTTGTTCACCAAGCTAGTTGTGTGAAAAGCAATCAGAGCAAGAAATAAAAGTAAATTCGAATTAAATTGTCGTGGATACTCAAAGAAATACCTTTGGTATATGTACGTGATTGGTACAATGCTCTCTGCAGGCTCGCTGTCTCGGATAATGCTAAATTCAAATAATAAACAGGACCAATTCGGATTTGATTTACAAGTGCAAGTTTCTAAGTTTAATATCCATCAGAACAAGCGACGATAATAAATCTTGTTTTTTATTCTTGTTTTTTATAACCTAATAAACAAATTTTTTCTAATAATATGAGCTGCAGACTGCCAGGTAATTAAGACGACAGAACATCAAAGACAACGCAAGGCATATGTTCAGGCGGCAAAGATGTATTAGCATCCAAAATTACTTTTTTTCCCGGGCCGAGGTCCGCGACTAATGTTTTGACTTTGTCGGTCGCGGACAGATTAATTCGGCGACCGAAAATCAATATTCTGGACAGGGTTTTACGTCGCGGACAAACTCTGGAAATACCGTATCTCGGTCGCGATGTTCAAAAAATTTTCAAACTTTCAACTCGGATGTTAAGATAAATTCAAAAATTAGACAGGCTTAGGCAATAGTTAATGTGGACTACTAATTCGCAGCGTCCTTAAGTACCATTACCATTAAAAATGGTTGTCGTCTGATTATCTGCCGTCTTATTTGCCAGACACACTTACAGCAGATAGCTGGAGTAAAATGAGTAGGTTTTGTTTAGGCGATAAAAACTAAACTGAGCAGTAGTTGGAAATTAGGTGAATTCCCATAGGTTCCAAAATTCATAGGTTCCAAAATAAAAAATCAGTCGCATAAGTTCCAAAATTTATCTTCTTGAATTCTGATTGGTTGAAATTTGAGCCAACGAATTTATGGATCGATTGTTTACTGTTCAACCAGCATTAACTCAAGCTGCAGAATAGTGACCGCCGCAGCCGCGCCAACGTGTTGCGAGCTTGCCACCAAAGGGTAGGACTCTATACGAAATTTAGAGCCGGTTATCGCCGCGAAGCGGCGACGCGCGCGTAGCGCGCCCACCGGCGACCTTAAACCGAGACTCGGCTAATTTAGTCTTTTGGCCCATTGAAAAGATTTGGAACTTATGCGACTGCTTTTTTATTTTGGAACCTATGGGACTGATTTTTTATTTTGGAACCTATGAATACGCACCGGAAATTATCGGAAAAAATAAGAGTTAAGAAGAGAAAGAAATTTCAAGTTTAAAATGTATAGCTTTTGAATTTATAACCGCGTTAAGACTTGAATGTCGATCGCGTAAATTTACTTTTTTAAAAAACAAGGACGCACAGCGTAAGACCTATAGACAAGACGGAACTAACAAGGAATTGCGCAGAGATTTTAATGCATTTCTTACAATAAAATACATGCGGCGGTGTTCTGGCAGCCGTGGTGAGTGCTTGCCTTATTTCATTCCTCCAATTGTCTGTGAGCGTCTAAAAAAGGGAATTTATATTTTCCTATGTGTGTGTAAGGAAACATAAATGCACATACGGGAACTATATACCATATTGGCTTACTTATTTAGCTCTTTGAAGGAGCAGAAACCTTTTGAATGTAGTGTCACGTATTGAGAGAGCATTCTCTTCTCAGCAATTATCACAGTTTTCTGATACAGTGTATAGTCTGAGAGTCGCCATAGTACCATAGATGGGCGAGTTAACTATATGGCCTTTATTGAGACATAGTTACTGGACTATAATTGTCTCTACACAGTAGTCTAAACCATCCGGGTCGACTTATGTTGCTACCATTGCGACTCAAAATGGGTATATTGCAACCATTGCGACCCAAATGGGGTATGTTGCAACCACTGCGACTCAAAATGGGTATGTTGCGACTTAGCGCGACCAAAACAAGGTATGTTGCGAATTTACGCGACCCAAAAATGGTATGCTGCGAGCCTTGCGATTCAAATTGGGTTGGTTGCGACTTCATTTTGCAATTTGCGCAAGTCAAATATCGTATGTTGCAATTTTGGGCGAACAAGGTGATTTGCGCGAATTTAGTTTGCAAATTAGGGTTGAAGTTTGCAATTAATGTTTCGACCGAGTCGGCCAAAAAATGGTATGCTTCAGCCGACTCGACCCAGGCTCGATATGTTTTGACCGACTCGACTCAAGCTGTCTGTCTATCTTTCGACTATGTTCGATCGAGGATGAACATTTCGACCAAGTTTGACCGAACAAAAGCATTTTGACAAAATTCGACCATGTTTTCGATCGAGTCCAGGAACAACGTTTCGATCGAGTTCGACCGAGGAATTTTTTTTGACCGATATGAATTTCGACCAATATGCGACACATTATTTCAATTGTTTTCGACCAAAGAAAAACGTTTCGACTGAGTTCGACCAAAACATTGATTCGACCGAGAAAAAATTCAACCGCGAAACATTTCGACTGTGTTTAACCAAGGAAAAGTCGTTTCGACTGAGTTCGACCCTGAAATTTTTCGACCTGGAAGCGTTTCGATCGAGAAAAATTATATTGATTGAGTTATATTGACACAGTCGCAACATGATTCGCGCAAAGGCGCAACATGGGTCGCGCAAAGTCGCTACATGGGTCGCGCAAAGTCAAAAAATGGGTCACTCAAAGTTCGACCCAGAATTTTTTTCGTTCAGAAAGCGTTTCGACCGAGAAAAAAAATATCGATTGAATTATATTGACACAGTTGCAACATGATTCGCGCGAAGGCGCAACATGAGTCGCGCAAAGTGGCAACATGAGTCGTGCAATGTCGCAACATGGGTCGCGCAAAGTCGCAACATGGGTCGCGCAAAGTCGCAACATGGGTCGCGCAGAGTAGAAATATGGGTCGCGCAAAGTCGAAACATGGGTCGCGCAAAGTCGCAATATGAGTCGCGCAAACTCCCCACATGGTTCCCCGTGTCGAAATTGTTCAACTAATCGGAAGCAAGATTTGAGCGGTTTTTGGACGCTTGCGCTTGCTTAAAAATTCGCAACATACCCATTTTGAGTCGCAGTGGTCGTAACATCAACACCCGCGACGCTCTACAATTACCACTCAAAAATTTGCGACATAAAATTGAGTAAACTCATAAATATATACGTTAATGAGCAAAAGAGACTTATTTAAGTTATTTTGATTAATTTCTTAGAAGAAAATCTCTACAGTTGCGAATTATCTTTGAAAGTCAGTTGCGAATTCACCGTCAGAAAGCGAGTCAGTTTTATGTTTATGATGTTTTTAGTCACTTGAGACTCTTCAAGCAAAATCCAGCGAAGCTTGAAGTTTAAGACGGTATAAGGCAGAATAAATTAAATTGATTGACTTTTTTTGAACATTACCGGACCAAAATTTTCCCTGGATAAATGCAAGGCTTCTAAAATCTAGAGACAACCCGGGTTGCCCACCACAGAAGATAATGCGCAACCATGCACATCCATTCATGATTTGCATGGAAAAGGAGTAATCATACGTAGCACATACGTTGGTTTCGAAAACCCTCAAAATAGCATTTTAACGGAGTAAAATAGTAATAAAACGGTTTCTCATCGTTATGCAAGCTGTTGGTAAAATATCAAAAATTTTCACCATGCAAATCATACGTCGCAACATATATCGTGCTACGTATGGAAGAGATTTTTCACCATATTTTTTTTTCTCTAGAAAACCGTAAAATAGAGGTTAATTGACAAAAATGACTGAGAAAAAGCATCTGTAGTGCAAAATATATCGGGTAAAATTTTCTACATCGGATAATAATGTGCATTGCTTGGGAACCAAAATTTTGCTCTGAACGGTGGAAAAAAGATTTTTTACTATCAAGTCTTTGAAATCCTTCAGAGCACTTCTTGGATGCCCACGAGAATTTTGAATTTATTTGTTTATTCAGTTTCTATGTCGCGCCAAATACGGTTTTTTGTTAATCACATGTAGCGCCATATACGTTTCCATGGTATCCATACGTCGCGCAATGCATGGTACCAAAGCAAACATACATTGCGCCATGCATGATACCATAGTAACATTGCAAGCTTCCATGGTGACATATAAATTATCAACAGCCCTAGTAAAAGTATCAAAATTGTCTAATTTGAAGTCCCCCATACTTTAAAAAATGTGGAATCATACGTCGCGTCATGCATGGAAAATGTGTTATTTTAACATAAAAATACGTCGGCAATTTTTCATGGCTCGCATGGAACCATGCATGGTGCGACGTATGGTTGCATATTTTGGTCAACCCGGGAAGTCTTTGAACATGCCTCTATTTTGTACGCGGAATGTGTGGATATCCACTCATCAAATTGTTGCAGAATCTACAAACAATTACTGAGTAACGTAAAATCTGTCGGCAGATTAGTTATGTCGCGGAATCCGCAACGAGATCACATAGCAAGTTGTTGCAGATTCCGAATTATTGGAAGTTTTCCACAAAGTGTAAGTGGATGTACAGCCATGCACAACCATTGATAATATCGTCTCAGAGATAAGTAGTGTGAGCGTGAACAGTTAAAAGTTTTAGATAGATTCTGGGCCGAGGTCCGCATGTTGCGATCGAACTGGGTCGCCAAAATAGACTTACTGTGACCAAAATTCTGTGACCGCAAGAGGCTTCAGTCGAACAGAAACGCAACATGGGTCGCGCAAAGTGGCATGTACATGTAAATGACCGCCACGAGAAGGCCTACACTTGGTCCCAAAGTAATATATAAGCTAATTTTTTGGGGCAGCAACAACGTGTTAACACAAAAACTGAAAACTAGAAGCCATTCAAATCAAACAGAAAACTGAAATATTAAATCATTAATATAAAAAGACGATAACACACTTACCACGAAGCTAGAACCACATGTAGACGGTCGGGAAAGGAGCGTTCCTGATAAAGGCTGAAACCAAATCTTCGGAAATTTAAGGTGCAATTAAATTGTTAAAAGGATTCATTTATGATTTAAAGTGAAAGTTGTGTAAAAATTCTCATTGGTTTCCACAAATTTTAGTTAAATTGTTTTTCTTAGATACTTCACTTACTTTTTAATATTGAAAGCAAGTGCAGTATCTAAGAAGAACAATTTAATTAAGTTTGTGAAAACCAATGAGAAATCATTAAAGAAGTATAACTTTAAATCATAAGTGAATCCCGTATACGACTAAATTGCGCCTTGAAAATTTCCGAAGACTTTGAGTGCTTTAATCACCAGGAACGCTCTTTTCCAGACATTATTTTTTATTATTCTTTATAAATTTGGAAGTGCTTTTCAATTGCATATTTAATTAAGTTGCTGTTAAGTGGTAAACTGTACAATAATTTTTTAAAAAGAATTATAGCCTGAAACAATTCATTAAGTATTGTTTTATTTTCTTTTCAGAAAGTCTCTGGAAAACGCGATTACTGCAGTTTGCGCCATTGGTGGATCCACCAATGCCGTTCTGCACATATTTGAATCTGTCAATTATCAATTTGGTTCATTTTTTTAACATTTTGTTTCGTTTAGGTCCACGTTTTACATTACTAGCAGAGTCTGCACATAGCTAGCCAATTTATCTTCATTGTAGAACATTCGTAAAATTTCTCTATGGTAAGAAATCATGGTCTGAGCCAAGAATCCTGCACTTGGTTCTTGTGACTAGGAAGCACACACTGGAAGCACGGAGCACGGCAAAGACAGCCGGCACTTCATCCAGTTCATAGTTTTACCATAGGGTTTCTCCCACTTGGTAGATAATGCTTCCCCTATTCTCCTAAGGAAACTTGCAAATTCTGGACCAAGCATCCCATCAACAGACACGACAAGAGGAGTGAAAGACATATGTCTTTCCTGACACGCGTCTGAATGTTTTCTCTTTTTCTCAACCTCTGCTGAGTGCAAAACACACATGGGGCTTCTGTTCTGATAGGAGATGTCGTCGGTGTCAGAGACACGAATATCAAAAGACGCTACTCCCTATCTAACATAAACTCCACGACAAAACAAATCTGCAATTAATGCGGGTGTCTCATCTTGCGGGTTGTATTCTCTAATAACAGGCTCTCTCTGTACATCCTTCCACACTAAAGAAGCTAAGTCGCCTACAGCATCCCTAATCTCATTGGGCCGTAAAGTTAAGAGACCACCTTTTTTGCACGCTAACGCATGCCGTAGGGTGACTGGTGACTGGCAACCATCACAAAAAGTTGGCGAAGCGATCAAGTTCTTGTTATACCGGACACTCAATGCATCCCGAAACTCCACTTCCGAAAGATCAAAGTTTTCTGCAGCAATCGGTAACGCTGTCAGCCAGGCAGACAAGCTTCCTTCATTGATTCTTTTTACTGCGCGAACTTGGTCTGCTGGTAGCTCATCTAATAACTCCCCCAACAACTCTTCATGTTTTTCTTCCATTATTCGATGATGTTTTTTCCGCGATCGAGACATTTGCTTTCTGTGGTCTTCATGGGAAAA